TCATGGTGACTGTCGGCATTCCTCAATTCCCCAAGTATAATATCCTGATCCCCTTCTTCACTTAAAAGTTTATGAAAGTAGGTCTGTCACCTCCTCTTAATTTGGTCATCTCCCATCAAAACTTTGTCGTCATCATCTTTTATGCACCTCACTTGGTCCAGGTCCCGAGTTGTCCTCTCTCTCGCCTTAGTGAGTCGGAATAACTTCTTCTCCCCACCTTTGTTCCTTAGTTCCTTTGTTCCTCTAGTAGTATTAGAACGTAAAAATTGTACGGGACGCCTTATTTGATCGTTCCCATTTAAATTATACCCATTTTTTTTTTGAAGTTTTAACTTCTCCTCAAAGTTACTAAAAGCTGGGGATTTCGAGCATGCTAATATTCTGTGTCATGTTTGTTCTTTTGTCCTAAGAGATTCACGAAACACAGTATGCATTTTGAGTGAATACAATTGGGTATGTTGAATGGAAAAAGCAGTTATGGGTCCTTATTTGAATACGATAATTAGCAGCAGTAATGGGTCCTTGTTTTCGATATGTTTTTTGCTAACTAGTAATTCTTTAGAAGGTAGGATGTTCAACGTCGAGTGTTGAGTCTATCCAAATTGCGAAGCTTTGCCTTTGAATCTGTCCAAATTATGATGTTTGACTCTGAAGTTTTGCCTTCAACTCTAAGAAGGCTGAAGTTCAGTTACATATAAAAAATTCGCAAGTTACAAACAAAAACTTCAGCTTTAGAGTTTAAGTTTGTCAGTTACAAAACAAAAGTCGTCAGTTACAAAAATAAAAACTTTAGCAATTACAAACAAAAATTTCAGCAAATAGAGAACAAAACTTCAGCTACTATGCTTAAGTTCAACAATTACAAACAAAAACTTCAGCACACTTGCTACTTCAATCCCGTCTACTAGAATGCTGAAATTTTGCGTGATTGTCTTTGCTACTTCAGCCCCCTATGCTGAAGTTACGCGAAAAAGTGGGTACGCTTGCATTTTTTCCAAAGCGGGCACAAGTTAAAACGTGACCCAAAAAACGAGTATAGATGCAAATGCCCCTATTAGAACTGCTAGTAAATCATACCATATAATCATATGGAAATATAATAATATCTAATTAACTGATTTCTTTCCTTAAACAGGTAAACAGTCAAAATGAAGAAGCATTAGAAAAATCAATGGACAGCCTGCAACTACACTGGGAAGCTTCTGAAATAACTTTTCTCCTCCTTTGTTCTATTTGTTCTTACCGGAAAGCATGACCCTTTTGAGTGAACCCAAGGGAATGCCTTGAAATTAGGGGAAACGGAAATTGTATCTCATAGACGGTGGCACAGTTCTTCTCCGTAACACATGAAAGAGATAGAAGAAAGGGTAACACAGTCTTTTCATATTAATTTTAATAGACTAGTAGTTACTATTGCTAAGCATTAAAAATGCTGGATAAAAAATAAACACCACTTTAAAAAGTGATTACCCCACACAATTTTTACATTATTTGTTGCCTTTATCGACTAATCTTTTAAAATTAATTGGAATTTGACTCAGGCAATTGTACATTGAGTATGTTAACACCTTTCTCTCGATCAATACAACCTCCTTAGAATTTTTAGTAATTTGTTCCTAGGATTCAAACAAATTCAAAAAGGTTTTCCTTCAAACAAATTACGTAATAAATTATTAGTTAATTAGTTTATTCCTAATACTCGCTTCGGTCCACGATAAGTGACAAATTTACTTTTTTATTTTGTTTCAAAATAAGTGTCCATTTATATAGTAATCAAGAAAAAATTCAATTTATTTTTACAAAATTACCATTATGTACGTATTCCTAAAAAGTTATTTACTCCTCACATTTGAGAAGAGAAGTAAGTGTTACTATAACTATGATGGAACATTTAATGAAGGTAATTTAGCCATATTAACTATTTTCGTCTAGAATTTAGTATTTCCTTAATGGGTGTGCCCAAAGCAAATTGGACCGGAGGGAATAGGAGTTAAATAAATCTATAATGTATTCAAGGGAGAGGAAAATGTATACATTAGAGAGAGGTAATGAGGAATGGTGAGAATCATTTAATAAGCACAAAACTTAAGTACTTTGGCAACAAATTTCAAAATTTACACACAGATAGAAATATTGGCTGGAATATGTTCATAGCCTAATAGATTGTTTGGATGGTTGTTCCCGTTGTATTGTTATCCCAAGACAATGTTTGTTTTGAATGTTTCATTAAAATTGGTTGTATTGTATTGTTAAATTCATTGTTCCGGAACAATGAAAAGTCCCCATTTTTGAAACAACCGATTTGGTGTGGTGGGATTGTTTTCTATTTTTTTTCTAATTATGTCCTAACTTATTACTCCACAATTCTATTTTAACCTTTACATTTTTTTTATTTTAACTCCAAATCTCAAACCTATAACCCATTTTGTTTTTTTTTTCCAAAACTTTTGCCGCAAACGTTAAAGGTGTTTTGGGGCCTTCTGTTTTATTTTTTCTCCTAATTTGCTTTTAACTCAATTCTAATTAGCTGTGCTCCTTTGTTTTGCCTTCTTCTGTCTCACTCCTTTGTTCTACTTTCTTAAGGTGTTTTGCCTCCTTGTGTTTTGTTTTTTAAAATTATTTTTATAGCATAATTTTTGATAAATTTAATATTTAAATAATTGAGGGTAGTTTAGTAAACTTATCAGTTACAGTACAGTACAATACATTCAAATCAAACAGTAAAATATTATTTAACAATAACAAACAATACAATCTATCCAAATATTGTATCCATAAAATAATAATACAATACATACAATACGATATAATACAATACATCATTATAAAACGATGGAGAACAATGATCCAAACAGAGTGTAAGTCGTCTAAGGGAAAGTAGCATAACAAATCTTAACCACACAACCCAAGTGGTGACGCGGTAAGGAATTATACCACAGTGATGAATAATAGTAATAAACAAAGAGAAATTAATTAATCATTAGAGAGACAACTACACTCTTGGGTTGGAAGAGGAATGGACTCCAATTTGTTGGGCCTCACTGCCATTGTTACCGTAACCGCTTTCTTCTTCCCTGTTTGTTTCTGTAGGAGCACTCTCTGCGGCTTTGAATAATGATGTGATATTCTTAATTGTTTTTGCAGTTGGGTTATCAGTTTATATTTTTCGTTATCACAGCACTCCTCAAGTTTGATAAAGTTACTGACTTTGCCGGTACGAATTATGATATCTTCATCACCTTATCTTTTTGTTTCTTTGAATTTTCTCTTTCATGTTCATGAAATTCAATGAAAGGTTCATTACTGACTTAAACTTTAATGGCCTGGAAAGACACGTTGTTTCGTTCTTGTACAACTTTCTGGTATTGTTTTCTCCTATGTTTTGGTTGAGGGGAGGTGTGGAATGGGGCTATTCTTTTCAGATTTGGTAAGTGCTCTTTTATCAGTGAACCGCAGTGACTCTTTATCATACATGATAATCAGTATTTTATAGACGGTAGTGTCATAGCATTTCTTGTTTATTGTAATCTTTGTTTAATTACTGGAACAGTGAAGCAGAATCATTTTCTGATACAATTTCTTAGAGATGTCAATCAATTCTTTTAGATGCCTTCACACACACACACACACACACACACGCACGCAAGTGCATTAGCTTTCTGATTCTTATTTTAACGATTATTGGACTAATTCAGACTCGATTTTCCTAGTTATAGGCGCCATGAGTTCACTTATACTTCACAAGTTGCCTCTTAAAACAGCGGGATATGCCAAAATTTGGCCTTAGATTCATGACAAGGTTATCATTATTGGGGATAAGTTTTAGATACCTACTACATTAATAGAGTCTCGTGGCCTGTCTACTTTACGTACCTTAACCAATCCATTCATCGTGCACCATGGTAGTATTTTCGATGGAACAGCTCCGTTATGACTTCCAATCTCTGACTTAAAATTTATTTTATGCTTATATTGTGCCGGTTTCTGGGGATGCTTTTTAACTAGTTTCCTGTCAATTATTTTGATACAGGAAGTACAAACTTCATTGTACTTGCTATTTTGACCTTGGTACTAAATGGTTCATGGTACTTTCGACAAGTAAGATTTTGCATCAGTTTGTGATTTACTTTGATTTAACAGTTTGGTTATTTTGTTAAAATGTTATTTACAGCCCAGGGCTTTGGCAGTATTTACTTTCCTTCCCCTACGGAGAAAAAAAAACACTTTCCCTCCCCGAATTCCTTTCCTCTCCCCTAGGCCCCATATACAGTTAGTCAGTTACCAGGAGCTTGGGACAACCATTTCCATTTCTGTAAATGGGAACATTTATTCTTAATAAGTTGAATTTGGACAGTATTAGCTTTAGAGCTTCCCAGTATTCGACCAAAGAACTTAGTTTTTGGGCTGTTTGTTTTTGTTTCCCATGCATTGTTGTCATTTCATGTTTATTGAAATCTGCAGTGTGCTCGAATATGTAATTGAAAGTGCTCAGGATATTGTTGCATAAGATTTATTCTGTTTGGTCATTCTGTCTTTCAGGTGATTTTGTCTCTGTTTGTAGTGATATGGGGCCTTCGATTGGGGCTATTCCTATTAATGAGGTAAGGCCAGTATATACTATTTACTATTAAACTTGTCTATTTTATTTTCCTTATTTTGCTTAACTATTATCATCATTTAAAAAGAAATAAGAAGCTATATTGGTCCTTTTATTCCAGATTCTCCTTGTAGTGCTCGCAATGTCGTAGAATTATAAATTCCTATGTGATTATGATCCTTTCAATATTCTAATTGTGTATAACGTTTTCCAACTTTGGTGCAATCGTCTTAATCTTTTGCTCGAATAAGTATACAAAAGAACACTATGATAAGTACTCTTGATCTTGTGGGAACACACTGGGTATGTTGTTGTTATTATTGATAAGTACTCCTAATATTATACTACCTCTATAAAAATCTTCCAATATGTTTTCTCAGATACTTCTACAATATGGCCAATCTATTTCCATCCCGTCTGAACTTGAATTGCTATTTTGAGATCTACAAACAATCCGGGGAGGAAGAGAAGAAAATATAGGAGAACGGTAGAGAAAGCTAAAAAAAAAAAAATGGTTGGGGTGAGGAAGGCTAAGTATAAGGGAAAATGTATGGTCAGCTCACCAATAATGTAGAAAATTCCTGCAAAAGAAAAAAGAACTATAAAGATCCCGATCGAGAATTGTGCGCATGTAAGTTCTGTAACTGGTTTGAGTTTGTTTGAAGCTTCCATAATTATGCGATGGTGAAAATCTTGAATAGAAAGAGAAAGTTTGTGACTTCCTAGTGAAGATAACTCTACGTTAAGAATTTTGAAGTTACTATACCTCACTTCTTTATTTTTAAGCATCTTTTCACATCTATGGATGGTCTATATAGTACCTTTCAAACAAAAAGAAAAAAAATTGGACTTTCATTAGCTTTGTCTTTTCCCTTCTTCATATCAGGATATTACAGTGGGGGGAGGACAGACGTTTTGATGACAAACGTGACAATCTTGGAAAACTGGCAGTATTTTGGATACTTCAGGTTTTGTTTTCCTTTATCCAAACATCTTGTAAGTTATCTTGCTCTATTTTGGTTTTGTGCTCTCAGCAGAAAGAGATATCTCGCTTTGGTGAATGAATACTTATTTTTCGCAGGCAACAGCAGAATGAGATATCTTGCTTTTGTGAATAACGACATATTTTTTATGGCAGGCAATCTGGGTATGGACTGTTAGTTTACCAGTGACAGTTGTTAATGCAAGCGACAAGCAGCCGCCTCTTCAGGCTCAAGACATCATTGGTTGGATTATGTGGTCTAGTGGGATTTTGGTTGAGATTACAGCTGACCAACAAAAGTTGGCATTCAAAAACTCCCCAGAAAACAGAGGAAGGTGGTGCACCGTTGGCCTTTGGAAGTATTCACGTCATCCAAACTATTTTGGTGAGGTTAGTCCTTTGAATTGTCTTCTTATTTAGAAAAAGTCCTTTGAAGTGTCCCCTCTATGTTTTCTGAGTTTGTAGAAGTTATTGTGAGTGTTTTGATGTCCGTGAGGCTCAACCTGATAGAGCTAGTGATGGCTCGCTTGTTTTCTTGGTTTCAGTTTTCACATTTTTCCAGTTTCATCTTTAACTGGACCAGCTAAAAATTTATACTGCTGTTCAGATTTTTCTTTGGTGGGGTGTTTTCCTGGCTTCCACACCGGTGCTGGAGGGTGCTAAATGGCTTGTTGTGTTTGGACCAGTATTTGTAACCTTGCTGCTTCTTTTTGTTAGTGGCATACCCCTGCTTGAGGTACAACCATTCCTTTGTCTTACTACATTTGCCTCTAAACATGAACTTATGCTATTACGTGCCTCATTAAACAGGCATCAGGTGATAAGAAGTTTGGAAATGTTGCTGCATATAGATCATATAAGAGAAAAACTAGGTCGGTTTATAGTTCTCAGTACTATTTCCTCTGATTATCAATGTAAAATGGTAAAATTGATATAATTACTGTTTCAGCCCTCTCATTCTGCTGCCTCCTGGAGTGTATGGGAATCTTCCTCAGTGGTTCAAAGCCATACTTCTTTTTGAGTTCCCTTTGTACAGTCGCAATCTTCCCCAAGAAGAGCTAAGCTGGTAAAACTTAAATCTTGTGCTCAAACGTTTGTCCTTCCCAGTTTTTTCTATTTATGCATATGACATATGTTGGCTTTAGGTGGTTCTTTTCTTCAGTTTAGTGAAAGCAGCCTCTCTGAACTTCTGGAAAGTCAACTTAATTCACTCTTAACATTTTGTTGATATGTAAATATATGTGTGTCATAACTACTCGTTTGCTGGGACTCAAATCTCAAGTTTTGTAGTACACAAGGCTAAACCTTAACTGGACGTGTATTTTGTTTATCCCTTTTTATTGGTTAGATCAAGATTCTTTCATGTATTCGTCATGAGTGGAAATCTTGCAATCATCATGCTTAAAATCTTGCTTTTCTGATGGTGATTCTCTTTCTTTGTTTTGTGTTGTTTCTTTTTTCTGTGTATTCTCGACGATTCCGGAAGATACACGAATAATGAGATTTTAATTATCCTACGGGCTTGTTTCTGACTTATTTCCCCTTGAAGGACTTCCTCATTCTAGAAAAATGTCTTTTTTCCTTCAGTGGGTGATAATGGTTTCCAGCTTTTCTTTCCTTTTTTTTTTTTTTTTCCTTTTGCCTTCTATTTTTCAGTAAAGTTGAGTACATAAGGATTCTTCTTCCTGTACTATACTTTTGCTTGTTGCACCTTGCAGCTACAATTGGTTTCACTTAGAGCCTCTGGCGCATGTGTGATTTTGTTTATTTGCAAGATTCAACTTTATTTCGAAGACATTGTTATGGAATTGTAAAGAAATTTTTGTTGTTTGCAAGGAATAGAAGAAGCCAGCAAGGAAGCAGAGTAGAACCGAAGATGAGTTGACTGCTTAATTTGTAGGATTTCATCCCAGTGCAAAAAGTTTGCTATCTGCCCAATGCACATATGCTAGAAACCTGCTTCACTTAATTATTCACTTAATTTGGCTGTTCAATAATGTAAATTTTTTGATCAAACCCGATCTCTTTGGTTGTGTTAGTCAAATGTCTCCAAACTTCTCTTGCTTTGTTCCCCAATTGTATTTTGGATTGATCATTGCATTCGCATAGTCGAGTAAACTCGTACATAGCTTGCTTAGTGTTCACTGACAATAAAGCCGCAGTTCAAAGTTCATATGTTTAATGCTTGTTAGAGTTTCTTTTTACTTTGCCCCTCTCGGCGTCATCCAACCTTTTTCTTACTTATGCCTTTTGTAGTGGCATGTTGTAAGTAGTAATATTTGACACACGCAAAAGACCTAAAATATGCGTCATTGAAGAAATGTGTTGCTAAATGTGTTTTTCATATAAACTTCTTAACACTTGACCACAAGTGACAAGTATTCACTTTAACTTTTACCTCTTATGGTTAAATAATTTGATTTAGTGTGAACACCAGATACAAGTATTTTCCATCAATATTTGCAACTTTGAGGGGAGGAGGGAGAGAGTTATATATAGGAAGAGAAACGGATAGGCGTGGAGGTCTTAACAGTGAGGAGCTGTTCGAGTTTATTACCATATCTAGATCACTGAATTTCTATTTGCCATGAAAGCCATATCGACCTTTAAAACTTATACATTCTTTGACCTAGATATACAAGGAGGATCATCCATAGATGTCATAATCATCTGAGGTTTGTTTAACAAATTGGTGCATTTCTATACGTCTGTGTTTTTGGCTGAGGTGGGATGGAGATACTGAAAGGACCCCAAAACAAAAATGATGGGTCCAACGAGCATGACTCAACGCATCAACAAATGATTTCACATGCCTCCCGTTTTATTGATATTCTCCAAGGAAATAACTGCACCAGTGGAGTCTTCAGAGACAGGAGCATGAGACATTAAAATGTATATGACCCAAAGATGAAGGGATACAAGGTAAACCAGAGACAATAATTTTGCGGGTGGATTTCTTCTGAGAAACACCATTCCGGCGCAGAAGATGGAGTCCAACTGCCGAATCAGTGATCCCAAATGCTGCTGGCCGGATCGCATTCTTTCTTCAAACAAAGGCCTCAACTTTGAGTTGGAGAGCTCCCACAACCCAGACTCCAAATCACCCATTGATGAGGTACTGGGAAAATCAGTTAACATAGACTTGTTTTCTTCTAGCGACCTTGAAACCGCCTAAATATTATATGAAAAATTGGATTGAGCACTCTGTGAACTATCTGCTATTACAATTGTAATGGAAATATCTTATTTAAGGATATAAATGTACCTCAATTTTAAACGTCATTGTGGCCTTCTCAGAAGACAGTGCCTCAACCTACAGTAACAAGTAAACTTCAAAAACTGTCTATTATCCATGTACTATCATCTGCAGAAACCAGGTAATGATTCCCTATTGGAAGTTAGCATGTTTGTGAGCATTTACAGGACTAAAAGATAGTTCATCTGAAAACACTGCTGTTCTTCACATATTTAAGAATTCCAGATTCACTATACAACAGCCCTTATGAGCTGCATTGCAACAATTCTTCTTCTGCAACATTGCTTTTATGGTCTTAGGAGCACTGGCCGCCATGGCCTAAACAAAAGTCAAAAGACTTTTAGCTCATAGTTCAATTGGACATGTAGGTCAGTGGCTAAGATAAACTGCAGTATATCTACTAATAGGAAGGTTTGCATTTCGGCATATTGATTATAGAACAGATTCATTTGTTTTGTTAACCAGCAAATATAAAAAGTATTAGACAGCTCGAACATTTAAAAAATCAAGAGCAAGACTTCTTCCCAATAAAATTCCATATTCGAGTCACAGTTAATTAAGAGGAGGAACCTGAGCTTGTTTCTGAATCAGATGATCAGTCAATTGACCAAGCCTCCGCTTGAGCTCGATTTCCACTGCAGTTGGGTTTTCCAGTTCATGCTGTGTTGTCTCAATGCTTCTTTCCAGTGTCTTTGCCTGAGATCCAGCCGTCACATCCACCGAATTAGATGAGTTTAACATCATAGAGAAAGCAAAGCAATAGCCATTCTATTTTCGATCTTGCATACAACTCAATCATGCTTTTACACTCTTACATCAATTTCTTAAAATAATGTCCACTAGCATCTCCGACATACTAAAACAGTGTTTCAATTTCATGCTTGCAGTCTCTAAATATTAGTTATGCAGGATCCACCATATGCAAGGCAAGTATTCTACAGAAGAAAATGGTCTTTTTCTCATAGCTGTAGTATCACATAAAACATTTACATACTAATTACTAACACAATGGTTCATATGGCAGCAGTAACGATCAGGTATTCACAAAGTAGACATATTTTCTGGGCCAAAACCCAAATAGTAGCGATTTTCCAACATTTAAATGTTCTAGCAGAAGTGCTTCAAATAAAGATGGAATACAGTGAATACCTATGTTGCGCGGACTCTCCAAAATACTGCCGCACCCATGTCGGATTCTCCAAAAATACACTGCTTTTGGAGAATCCGACACGCACCCGGCGATATTTTCGGAGAGTCCGAGCAACATAGGTGAATACACGATCCACTCAGATCCAATGTTTCCAAAGGTATTATGCTATCCTGGTCCTATATTAGTTCAAAAAGATCCAGCAGAGAAGTAAATTTGGATGGTGCAAAAAGTTGGGTCACCTTTTCCTGCAACAATCCCAATTTATCTGTTAAAAAAGAGTGCTCTGCTTCAAGTATCTCTCTCTCCACTTCAACCCCTTTTGAAGCCACTAACTACAAGTAATTTTCATTGAAAAGAAAAAAGTTAGAAGATAGGGAAAAGGAAAACTTAGTTATCTTAGAGATAAATCTGCTTAAAGACAAAGAGAAGCCGGCATTGCTTACTTTTTCACCACTTCCCTGTGTCCCAGATATCTCCCTTCTCAATTCTGCAAGACAAGAAGATCATGAAAAAGTTTCATTGATATATTTGTTGTGAAGAAACCTATCTTAGCAAAAAAAAAAAAATCATTTTTACGAACTATTTGTCAATCTCAATCTTTTGTGCTTTTATTTTTTCAACCAATGGATCTTATTCAAGAAAAAGATGTGATCCTACAAGCTGACAAGAAAACTGCCCTATGAAACATTAAATCAACCAGCCACATATATTGCCATGCAAATTTTACTACGTTGGTGTCTCAAGCAGGGTATGCCACATAATGATGTCACTGTACATTGAAAACTTTAACATAAGTTGTCTGAAATTCATATTATCACGCATAACCACAGATCTGTTCAGTTTACAAATGCACATCCGGAACACAAGTATGGTTATCACCTTTTTCTGACTAGTTTTAAGAAAAAGTGTGACAAGGTAACAACTCTTGATTCAGTCAAGATCCAAGAGCATACCTTCATGAACCGCTTCTTTTGACTCAACTTGTTGGCGTAGTTCAGCAACCTGATTAATCTGAAACATAAATATCAAACACTAGTTAATAACATGCTTCCTTTACAGTTTTCCAAAGTGTTGATACTCGAGCAGATACAATCAGAAATAGTAATATCTGGAGTTGAAAAAGTAATTGATTCATGCTAAAGTTCAATTTAGTAATACTTTCTTCAAGCTGCTTTATTCTTTTAGAAAAAGATAAAATAGGGGAGTACGCTATTATGGTGCGAATAACATATGAAGTCTTGGTTCACTTGCTCAGAGCAACATATTGTTATTCTAGGTGAACTCACTTATTTGTTCCTTCATTCACGTTTATTGGCAACAACCTTTATTTTACTATTTTTTTTTGGGTGGGAGGTGGGACAAAATTTAATGGCAACAACAAGCGACACCCCCCCCCCCCCACAAAAAAAAGGAAAAAGAGGAATAAAAGAGAGAATATAGATACTCCACAGGACCAAGGTAGAGAGCTGCAAAATGAAACAGCTATAAATAAGGAGTTATAAATATTCTTTACTTATGAAACCGTATCACACAAATGATATCAACCCCCAAAAAGTGCGAGAGATAATGTGTGTAACTGTTTTCATCTCGTGGAAGCAAAGTACAACAGTCAATAGGATTTCCAAATTCTGCTGAAACAAGGGTTAATATTTCATATACCTCTACTTCAAGATTCCATTGAACAGAGGCGAGATACCTTGCAAGTTCAGCATTTACAGTCTGCAACAAATAGCTAGGCATTAAAATCTGCTATGATTATCTGGAGGAATACTTTAACCATAATAACTATCCAAAATCCCTTGCCAGCTTGCCCAACAATTGAACATAAAATATGTAAAAGCAGAATGATTAAGCAAACCTCAAGCTTTGCTAATCGTGTAAGAGTTTCCATTCTAGTACTATTATGTTTCTGCTTCTCCAACTCAACAGCTTCCATTGTTTCCATCATTTTCGTCTGTAACTCAGAAGCCTATAACAAAGAAGTAGTCATAAGCATGGTAGTTGGCCATAACATTGAAATGCCCAATAAATCTTTTCTGAAATTCTGACTTTTTAACAGTGAAGAATGTTGGTGGACGTAAGAAATGACAAGGGAGAATTGCAATTTTATGCATGGAAAGAGAAGATTAGCAATAGAAGAGGCAGTACTCTCATTCCCGATGTTTCCCCAAACGACTCTGTTCGTTAACTAATCAAAGACCAGATACAGTTTCATTGTCAAGTTGTTACAATTGCAAGGCGAATGAGAAACAATGTATACCTTTGGTTTGCAGATTCTAGTTCATGCAGGACACATTACAAGAAAATGAAGGAAATTTTCCTCCAGCTCTTTTTTATCCCCCCTTTTTAAAGAGTCGGGGTGCTCTGAGAAAACTGAAAAAGCAGGTGGACCAAAATGTAATCCAGTCCAGAAGAAAAAAAGCAAAAGCAACTTTTGAAAAACCTTTACAAGCTAAGCCAGTAAGGGAATTAGCAGAACGGTAATAATATCTTTATTGTTCTACTTTTCCAACTTCTATTTTAACAAGAACAAGAATAACCAAAAAGTTTAGCAAACAAGTTCTTAGGAGACCACGGAAAAGGTATGATCAGACCGATGCACAATATAAAATGAAGTGGTCAGAACTTTAATATGATATAAAATGAAAGCGTAATCAGAAGGGGGAAGTAGTCAAGAATGCAACTAAGCGTCTAAGCTTATCAAGGTAACATCCCTATGGAGTTTGAATGAAATTGCCCAAATCTTACTTCGACACCAGAGACCTTTATATCCTTCCGGAAGCAAGTAAAAAGAAGCCTATGAAAAATGGACAAATTCCAGTCAAAATTATGTAACTAGAATCATAGAGGTTGATGCTTCTTCTGAAAGAGTTTCCTGTGCCAAATGCACATTTTATCTTAAACTCCAGAACAACAATTTGATTATTTACATTACTTATCCCCCCAAAAAAATGACTGCTGCCACCAAGTCTTTACATCTTGAGTTAGAACTGCTCAGTCATGTGGTTGGGGGAGGTAAAAGCTTTCCTCTGAGATAACAAACTGACTTTTATGGTATAAAATAATGATTTCACAAGATACCAGGAAAGTAAACTACATAACAACAGGAAACAGAAAGATCAAGTATTTACCTCTTCAACTTGTTGTTTGGCCCGCTGTTCAAGTATTTTTTCTAAGCTCTGTTTCTCCCCTTCCAATTTAGCAACCATGTTCTCACGTTCTTTTATAGCTTCCATTGCTTTTGCAGCTGCTTTCTCCGCCAGGATCTGCTGCCTTCTTCTTCTCCTTTCTTCTCTTTCACGTTCACTTTCCGAGTCTGATGAAGATGCTGAATCTGTCTCAGAATCTGATTCTCCGTTGCTAGGTGAAGAAGAACCCATCTTTACAGAAGTTGAAATCTGAGAGTCCATTTTTGGTCTGTCAACCATAGCCTTCGCTGGCCTAATGCTCTTATTGTCATCCAGCTGATTCTTTATGTCCAACTCCTTATCAAGAGTGGCAGACCCCATCACAATGCCAAGGCTCTTATCTCCAGAACGACTATTCACCGGAGACTTCTTTACACCCTTAAAATCCTCCAAATACTCATTCTTCACTTCATTTTGTTCATCCTTATTTCCACGCAAGGACTCCACATTCTCACCTTTTCGATGAAGGTCCCTTCTGTCCAAACCTTCCCCCCCATCAATTTTGAGATTAACACTTGAAGTTACCGGCATTCTATAGCCTGCATTGTTAGCTCTTCTCTCTAACCTGCTACCGTCTACCTCATTCTCTGATTGACTATTTGATCCTTTAACACTCTTAACAACCTTTTGAGGTTTCTGGCTCCTTTTCCCTTCCACAGCAAGCAAATTCGACCCGGATCCCAAACTCCTTTGTTTTCTACCATCACTCCTACCACTACGGATACCAGCCACTCCATTACTACCATTACTCGCCCCAGCAGTGGCATTTGAACTAGGTGCACTTAGCAATTCAGTCCAATCAGTATCAGTAAGAGCATTGGTACTCGACTTAGGGCTCGAATCTATTGGCGTGACTGCCTCCTTTTGAGGCTTATAATTACTATTGCTACGAAAGCTATTATTCTTATCCAGGCTAATAGAAGTTGAATTACGATCAGTTCTGGATTTCGTGATTAAATCATCAGTTTCGAGGCTTTTCTTCTTCAGCTGGTCCTTAAGTGGCTTATTTTCATTGGTTTTAGCTATGTTTTCGCGATCTAGGTCATCAGATCGTTGCTTCTCACTCTTACGGAGTGAACCAGCTGCTTGCTGATCTATCTGAACCACTCGAATGAAATATTAGGGAAAAACAATTAGATACACTACTACTGAATAATACTCGTAAAAATGAACAAAAAATCAAAAGTAATTCCACTAAAATCCTAATACAAATAGAATCAATTTTCATGAGAACAAAAAGGAACCTGTTGAAGTAGATTCTCGGCGACTTTGAGCTTCGAAGAGATCCAGTGAGCCATGGCCGTAGGTTTGTGTACTGTCTTGTCGGGGAAGATCAGAACAGTGGCTATGTACAAAATTGAAGCATTGTTAGCGAAATGCTGCTGTGTATTTTGATTGATTTCAGTTAAGAGGAACTGAGTCTCAGAGAGAAAAGCGTGCAATGGTCCGAGCCGTTTGGTAACCACTTCTTCTGAGTGAGTCGAATTCTCCCCGGTCCGAACTCAGGGGCAAAATTTTACAAAAAGAGGACTTGAAGATTTTTAGAATGAGTAGTCGGAGATAATATATTTTGTATTTACTAATTAGGGAACAAATATTGCAAATGCTCTCTTGCTCAATTTCTCAATGTTCCTCCTCTTAATGAATTTCATTTTGTTCTTTGTTCCAATTTTAAATTGTATTTAATTAATCATTTCACAAATTATTCATCCTACCCTTTATTTTGAATTGTCCTAAATTTCTGCTTACTTTCCTAAAATAATAAATGTTTCATTAATTTGCATTTTCCAAAAATAAATTAGATTAGCATATATTTTATAGAAAATGTACTTTTAACTCATTTATAATATTCACGTCAAAATCAAATAAGAAACACGAATTGGATGCATTACTTAAGCTTGCTCAAACTTCATTATGTTTAATTTTTTTGGGTTCATGTTGTATAATCATAAAATAGTTGGTATTTGTTAGAGAAGTTATAGCTTTCTTTTAGTTTTACTTGCTATTATAAATAGCAATCCTGCGTCTAATTCATGAAAGAGACATTAGTATGTATTTTAGAGATTAATGAGAAGTATTGAGAACTAACCGAAGACTTTAATGCTATATGACCCATCATTCAACCAATCAGATAGCAGTATTTGAGATTTTATAATTCATATATCTATTGGATCTTCAAAAAGAAAGAAGTTGATCAAATAAGTAGAACTGTTTCATCAGTTATTTAATTATTATTTTTTATCTCTTATATGGCCGTATCCTGTCTTGTTCCACTGATCAAATACGCGATTGTGCTAAGTACAGAATTTGTTGATTTTATCAATAATTTCGTCACATTCTTTTGCGTCTGTGTATGCTATGATGAAGAATATGTGAAGTTTTAATTTGTTTCTTTGTGAGTAATAGTGTGTAATGACCTGGTCGGTCGTTCTGAGAGTTGTATCCCCGTTCTTCTATTACTGTTTATTTTGTGCTTTATAGCTATTATGTGACTTGTCCGGTAGTCGGTTCAGGTCCGGAGAGATTTTGGAATGAATTGAGACACCAAGTCTTAAGGTTGAAAGTTTAAGTTGAAATGGTTGACCGGATGTTGACTTGTGTGTAAACGACTTCGCATTGGAGTTTTGATGGTTCCGTTAGCTCCATTGGGTGATTTTGGTCTTAGGAGTGTGTTCGGATTGAATTCTTGGAAAGTTGGATCGAGAGTGAACTTTTCGGCATCGGGCTCGGATTCCGATTCCGAGAGTTGGAGTAGGTATGTGGTGTCATCTATGACTTATGTGTAAAATTAAGGTCAATCGGACGTGATTTGATGGGTTCGACGCCATTTGTAGAGTTGAAATTTCTTAGTTTCAATAGGCTTGAATTGGGGTGTTTTTTTATGGTGCATGATGTGATTTGAGGGCCCGATTAAGTTCATATGATGTTTTAGGACTTGTTCGTATGTTTGATTGAGGTCCCTGGGGTCTCGGGCTGGTTCCGGCTGGATAACGGATCAAAAGTTGAATTTGAGAGGTTGTTGAAGCTGGAGTATGCTAGTGTAATTGCACATGCAGAGCTTTGATCGCACGTGCGAACTCGTAGGTGCGGGTTTCTTGCGCAAATGCGAGTTTGGAGGGGAGAGTGCAGGTGGTCACATGTGCGAGAGAATTACCGCATCTGCGTGGCCGCAGATACGGCGATGGGAGCGCAGAAGCGAAAATGGAACTGGGTCCGCAAAAACGGCTTGGTGGTGTAGACATGTGATTTTTGACCCTCCCCAAGATTTTTTATACTTTAGCATGTAAATATTTAATTTAGGTCTAATATCACTATTTCAACTAATTTTGACTCTTTTACTTTATTTTATTACAAGAAAATTAAAATTACAAAGATATTTTATTTTATGTACCTTTCATAAAGTAAAAAAAATACAAAAATAGTATCTTATTTTTATCTTTATATAATCTTGAAAAATACAAAAAATATATAATAGTTTCATGTTTTAATATAGTTTAGTTTAATTAATTAGAATTTATTTTTGCATCATGTAGTATAGTTATCTTATATTAAAGGAATTTAGTTATGGTTTTGAATAATAATTTTGGAGTCTTCTTAGCCCAAAATTGAGACACAAAAAGACATGGTCCAACCCAATTACCCTTAGCTCATTCTTCCCAACCCATTAGCTCATTTAAGTGCAAGATTTAATCCTAGCCATTTATTTTTCTTCTAATCCAATGGTCATCATCCCTTCCCACTTTCATATAAAATAACCAATTATAAAATCCCTACCCAAGAAAAACGGCGCAGGAGCTCTTCTTCATTTTGTTCTTCATTTCTCCAAGCTCAACAATCAGACCCTTACCCCTTAACGGCGCTCCATCACCGCTACCTCCTCCTCCATATCCAGACCCCTCATCTCCCATAATCAAAAGCACAAAAACACCAGCCTTTCTTCTTCATAGGGAACCTTAGGACCTAGGAAGCTAAGAGTTTACCCCATTTCTTTTGACAAAGAGCAGCGATGCTCAAAAGAAAAAGAAAAATATAAAAAAATCAGCCTCTCTAACTCATCCTCTCACTCTCAACGCGCCTAAATACAGCTGTTGAAACTTAAGAATTTCTATAACTCAACTTCAAACTCCCCAGAAAGAAGCAATCAAGTGTCGGATTTGAAATCACATAGCCGATTCAGCAGTTCAACCTTTCTTCTTCATAATCTATTTGGTTTCCAAGGTTATTAGAAGTTGTAGATGAGCTGCTTGTTTATCAATTTGGACTGCGCTGGTTGCTGAGTTTCAAATTTCTGTATCTCGCCTTTATCCAGTCCTTTAAGCTGGTTCTCGCATAACCAGGTATTTACTTGTGAACTCGTTTTTTTTTTTTTGTTTTGGCCAATATGAATAAATTCTGATATTTTCTCTATGAAATGTCAACCCATTGTTTGGGGACATGATTGAACCTTTCTATTTTCTTTGAGGCCTTAAATATTGAAAGCAGGATTTTGTGCTATAACCTTTGCTTCTTTAATTTTGTTGATTGGGATTCGCTGTTTCAACTTGTTTCAACCTGAATAAGCGTCACTTATTTGCCTCTCAGATAAGGTTCATGATGTTTGAAATTGATAGTTTGTGGTTTAGCTCTTCAATCACCAGATCTGTAGTGTTTCTTGGATATTAGTGTGTTATTTTTTGATTTTTTTAGGCAAGGGTTCATGTTGGAATGAGTTACACGTGAAGCTGGAATTAGAGCTACTGTAAATTGGTTGTAGCGTAGCTATAGATCGTGTTCAGTATTATAATATGATATGGTCACAAAACTAAGAAAATCACTAACTTTGTAGTTTAATTCAGAACTGATATCAATTTCATTTTCTCATAGTTGTATGTTTAGGTTGAATATGATTTAGCTAATCTCAAATTGTGATGGTCAGCTTTAGTAGTTTGCTTTAAAGTTTGGAATCAAGGTAATTGGCATTTTTCGGGCATCAGGAATGAGATTTGATTACATCTATGCTAATTATGTTATTTGATTGGCTTGGAATGCTAGTAACAGGATTAGGCCGTTAATAATCATGAACATCGTATCTTTCTTTAGGCGCAATTAATAAACCATCATGACTATGGGTACGGTTCACGTGACATAGTTATGATGCCTAATTCCTAAATTTGGGGGTGCATTTCATGTGACCCGATTATAACAACTTCTAATAATAAAACCCTTTGAAATAATTTGAGGTGTGCCATGCCAAATAAAATCCCTAAGTCCATGGCCCTCATAAAACTAGCTAGCTTTTATAGAAAAATTGAGGTGTGACATGTTGAATAAAATCCCAAAACCCATGGCCCTCACTTAATTAATTTTTAACTCTTTTAAAATCGAGGTGTGCCATCAATTGAATTTTTTATGGCCCTCGCAAACCTGAAAGCGCGTAGTTGCTTTAGGCGCGCTATTTAAATTAATTTCCTTAAACTCGGGTGTGCATTTCATGTGACTCAAATCCAAATCTTAACAACGTCAAATAGAATATGTCTCAGACTGCGGGTGCATTTCATGTGGCGCGGTCAAAAGACGTATTTTGGTTGACATTGAAATCTTCCTAATAATAAATAAAAGCGGTTATAAAGTTAAAAGGCACATAGGTTCAAAATGTTCTAAAATCAGATAATATGTCAATAATGACAGTTGAGCGACCGTGCTAGAACTACGGAACCTGGGAATGCCTAACACCTTCTCCCGGGTTAACAGAATTCCTTGTCCGGATTTCTGTGTTCGCGGACTGTAAAACAGAGTCAATCTTTCTTCGATTCGGGATTTGAAACTGGTGACTTGGGACACCATAAATTATCCCAAGTGGCGAATCTGAATTTAAAAATTGATAATCCCATTTCGATTGTCACTTTAATTGGAAAAACTCCCTACATCCCCTCTCGGGTGTGTAAAAAGGAGGTGTGATAACAAAGGCGATGTTGCTGGGGATCGAACCCAGAATCTCTGGTTCAGGGTTCAAGAATTCGAGCTTAGAATAATTGTTATATTTGGCTATATTTATTATCTGATTTTATTACATGTTTGAGCCTAATATGCTAAATGTTGCTTTTACCGCTTTGATATTATCTGAACTGTATATAAACTGATACAAAACTCTTCCTCTCTCTGAGTCTTCTAAATCATGGAGAAGTGTGCACTTCGTGTGACTTCTCTTCTGTTAGAGTCATATCCCAAATTTTAGAACGAGGTTTGGACAAGTTGCAAAGCCGGTGAAGCTTCTGTATTCCCGGTACGCTGCCTCCCCCATCGGCTCGAGCTGTCCGCTTGGGTAAGCCAGGTCTAGAACAAATAAACCCAGGTTTTTAAACCTAGTATAGCATAGCCTAATGTCGGATCCCTAGTAGGAACGCTTGTTTGCATCATATGCATTTTGACTTTGGGACTCAACACAGGGGTTGGGTCCGTCTAGGACAAGTGTACCCAAAAATCAAAAGACCATCTTGATGCATCTTACGTGCTACTTGCGTATCTGTCTGTTTCGGCTTGCATGTTGACTGGCTTCTAGAATAGGGAAAGAAAATGAAAAAAAAAAGAAAATAAAAAAAAAGGAGAAATAAGAAAAAAGAAACAAAAAGTTAGAGGTAGGTATTTAGAAAATTCTGAAAATCTGCCAAAATTCTGGGGAAAAAAGTCATTTCAAAACGAGCCAAAATTTTCAAGTGTCATGTTTTCCTGTTCCGTCAAAACTGGGCGAACTATGCGGATCTGATTCTCGCCGGATGTGAGATACGTAGGCAAACCTCATCGGTTCCGGCCCATAATTTTCAAAAAAATCCAAAAATATTTTCATTTACTTCCTCTCTAGAAAAGTCTTTTTTTTGAGACCCCAATTTTCAAAAATCCAAAAAAATATTTTCCATTACTTGCTTCTTTAGAAAGCCTTTCTTTTAGACCCTAATACAAAAATATTTTCTTTTAATTTATTCCAAAAATCCAAAAAAATATTTTCATTCTTCTTTCAAAATTGAGAAGAAAATTCAAAATTCAAAATATTTTCTTTGTTTTAGAAAAATTTCTTTCATAAATTCAAAATAAAATTCCTAAAATATTTTCTTTCTTCTTTAAAAGTTTTTCTTTCGAAATTCCAAAAAAAAAATCCAAAAAATATCTTTCTTCTTTAGAAGTCTTTCTTTGCAAAAATGCTGAAGAAAAATCAAAATCAAAATATTCCATTTCTTCTTTATAAGCCTTTCTTTCGAAAAATCAAAGAAAAAAGTCAAAAAAAAGTTAGTTTATTTACTTTATTCATGATCTTCCCGAACTACGCAAGATCTGATTCATGTTCCCACATGATACATAGGCAACCCCCATCAGGTTCGATCACCATTAAAAAGAAATGAAAAAAATGAAGAAATGAAAAAACACTGATAATAATAAGGACCGACTGAGTCCATTCTAACATATTTTGTTTTGAATTGTGAAGAAAGTTGAGGTGGTCGGTTTGTGGTAAGCTGGAAACACAAGATCCAAGGAAAAATGATAACTGACATCGAAACTATTACAAGTGCTCAAAAGACTCAGGGTCAGAGGGTTCAACAAGAGTCTACTGTGTTTGAGAAAAATAGAATACTGAAACAGCAAATGACTGAAATGTGTCAAGCATGGGCCAGTGATCAAGGACAGCCTCGTCATGAGTCACAATTTACTACACAGCGAGCAATACCACTCTCCTGAGTACCACTCGTACTTGTTTGACTTTCCTGCAAACATTGAGAAGCCTGCCCGAAAGATGGTACATGAAGAAATGACCCAAAGAGCGAAAAGCTTAGAACAATGGTTGAAAAACATGCAAGGGTTGGCATGTCAAAAGAGTATTGCCTTCAAAGATCTATGTATGTTCCCCGATGTCCACTTGCCGCCTGGTTTCAAGACTCCCAAATTTGAAAAGTATGATGGACATGGAGATCCTATAGCCCACCTGAAAAGGTATTGCAACCAATTGAGAGGTGCGGGAAGAAATGAAGAATTGTTAATAGCTTATTTTGGGGAAAGCCTTACAGGAGTAGCATCCGAATGGTTTATGGATCAAGACACATCTCGCTTGTATGTCTGGGATGACATGGCACAGGCCTTTGTCAAACAGTTCCAATACAATATTGACATTGCCCCAGACCGCAATTCCCTTTCAAACTTGAAGAAAAAACCAACTAAAAGTTTCAGGGAATATGCCATTAAATGGAGAGCAAGCAGCCAGAGTTAAGCCACCCATGGATGAGCACGAGTTAATGATTGTGTTCCTTCAGGCTCAAGAGCCAGATTATTTTCAAAACATGATGTCCGCAGTAGGTAAATCTTTCTCGGAAGCAATCAAAATGGGGGAAATAATTGAGAATGGTCTTAAGAAAGACAAAATTATAAGTCAAGCAATTCTCAAAGCCGCAACTCAGGCTGTCCCGATTAAATCCGATAATTTCAGTGGCACGAATGAGAAGGATGAAGAAATCATGATGACAACAGGTTTGAGAAGAGGTCCCAGGAAAACACCTCGAAGGTATGTACAACCTCATTAGGTTTTCCATGACTCCCCTGAGCATTGCTATCCACCTCAGAATCCACAATACTTTGTCGCTCCGCATCAGTATGTTGTCCAGCCACCAAAACACCCCAGAAGGCGATCACGAGCATCACAAAATCTCCACCAGCTTCCACAAAATTTTTAGGTACCCTATAACCCACATCCAGGCCAGAGGTATAGAGGGGAACAAAAGTTGAAAGATAATTTTACACCAATAGGAGAGTCCTATGCAAGCTTGTTTGAGAAGTTAAAGCATTATGACATGATTGCACCTATTCCTCCAAATCATGTGGACCCACGTGCATGAAGCTTTGGCCCTTCTAAAAGGTGTGAATACCATTACAATGCCCAGGGACACAATGTTGAAAGCTGTCGGGATTTGAAAAGAGAAATAGAAAGGATGATCCAGGAAATCCTGATTGTGATCCAAGACAGTGATACCCAGAATATCGCACAGAATCCTTTACCTGTACATGATGATGCACACTTTGTGGGGATGATGCGTGGTGACAGGGAGTATGAGAATCCTCTTAGGAATTTGTTAACTGAAGTTAATGATGTTGAAATTGGAGAAGGCTCTGCTGATTCTGATAAGCAAATTTGCGGCTAAATGTCAAGCCTAGCAATTGAAAAGTCATTCCCTCTGTCACACCTCCTTTTTCCGTCCCCGCGAGGGTATAAGGAGTTTTTTCCAATTAAAGGACAATCGAAACGGGATTTATTTATTTATTTCATAGTCGCCACTTGGAAGATTTAGGGTGTCCCAAGTCACCAATTTAAATCCCGAATCGAGGAAAAGAATGACTCTGTATTACAGTCCGCGAACCAGAAATCCGGATAAGGAATTCTGTTAACCCGGGAGAAGGTGTTAGGCATTCCCGAGTTCTGTGGTTCTAGCACGGTCGCTCAATTGTCATATTCGGCTTATTTATCTGATTTTTATACAATTATGCGCTCTTGTGCAAGTTTTAACTCTTTACCACTTTTATTATTATATTTTTAAAAAATGTGAACATTGTTTAAAAAGAACATGTCTTTGGATTAAGTCGCATGAAATGCACTCGTAATCCGGAACACATTTTTATTCAATGTTTTGGGATTTGGATTTGGGTCGCATGAAATGCGCACCAGAGTTTAAGAAGGTAATATTAATTAAATCGTGCGCCTAAAGCAATTAGCGTATTATTATTTCTGGGTAAGGCCGTGGAATTTTGCTAAACGGCTCATCTCGAAGTCTAAGTAATTTTAATTAAACATTTATCGAGGGCCCCGCAATTTGTGCGTTTTATTGGGCGAGGCTCATCTCATTTATTTTAAAAGGATAATCCTAAAGTGCATACATTTTTTCTATTAAAATTGTCTCTACGAAATG